ACCACCACCACCCACACCAAGCTATCCTGCTGTCTTAGGTATGGTGAAGAATACTGCCCCATAACATTCAAAAAGTGGTTCGGTTTGGGTTTGTTGTTTTTTACCAGATTCCGTCTGTCACTCATTTTGAAATAAGATATACCTTTCAGTCCAGTTGGGGATTGTATATGGAATGAACAGGGAAAGTGGCATCTATTGTTGACACAGGTTTGCTTATTCCATACATTTATTCTCAGTGTAGGCTGTCTTTCTAAGATAAAAGGTAAAAAAGTCAAAGGTTAACTTTGGCACTAATCTGGACATGTATCAGGAAAAGAAACTGAGTCAAGGTGCCACAAGCCTATTGGATAAACAAGTAGAGAAGAAGCATGAGAGGCTGTTTCTATATATGGCAACTGCAGCAAAATTGTTATATGCAAAGAGATGGAAGACTAGAGGATGAAAATGCTGGAACTGGTCGAAATGGACAAAGCATTACCTTTGATAAGAGAAAAGTCCTGGAGTAGTTTTAAGAAAGAATGGAATCCATTAACTGATTTGTTTCTTTTTTTTAACAAGAAGGTTTAAGTTGGATAAGCGAGACTCTACTGTACTTTGTTGGTTATCCATTACTGTGCCAGCAATGTTTTTCCTAGTTCTTCTTTGAAATGTCAGAATGCAGCACTGGGTTAGAATAGTTTTTAGAAGAAGTATTCTAAGTATTTTAGAAGCAATGAATTTGTCTGCAGGAATGGCTATGCAAGACAAACAAGACTGTTACTGTCTGTCGCAGACAGCTGCTAGGACAGTCATGGAAGCTGAGTGTTGCCAAGCTGGGCATTAGAAAAGGGCCATTGTTCTTTCCTAGGCTATCAAGGCAAAAGAAATGCATGTTATCAACAACAGGTTGCTCTCATCATCAGAGCTGGCAAACCCATTTCTTCTTTTAATACTCTGGAACAGCTGCTTCATGTCAGCAAATGTTGTGAATAAAAAAGGAAGCTGCGCGTTCCTAATGCAATTTGCTTCTAAGGATGGAACTTGCAGTTTGGTTAACAGATCTTCTTCTGCTGATCAGAATGAAAAGTTGGCACAGTTGGAAGGACTTGAAGTTTACCTCCTATTTCTTTTCCTTAGGAAGTTTTGGAATGCAGACACACACTTTGTCTTGGCTTTGAGAGAAAAGCTGGCATCGAAGAAGAACTGTAATTAAGTTTTTTTCCTTTGCTGTGTTTTCTTGCTTTAAGCCAGCAGTGAGCATATGATTGAGGCTAGATAGAAGGTCACTTTCAATATCTGCTGATTCCATGTGTACTACGCTGTGCACTTTGTGCAGCTGGAAATTATAATCCTTCATTCATAACCATTTGGGTTGCATTTATATTGTTGTTTTTTTATTATCGGGGAAAGAAGTCCTCCAAAACAGAATTTTATAAAGATAAATTTATTTGGTTATTTATTTCCCACACTTGTATCCTACCCTTCTCACCCCAAAGAGGAATCAGGGCGTCCTTACAAAGGCAACAGTTAAATACCCATATATACATACATTGATGTATAAACAAAAGCATTAAAATCCAGACCAATTAAAACATAACATAAAAACATCAGTTAAAATCACAAAATCCAGGTCATATTCCTGGGCCAGTCTGAGTCGTCATTATGCTATTTTGTAGACTCTTATTGCACTGTTCCTATTTACTGACCAAAAGCCTGATCCCAGAGCCATGTTTTTAGTTTTCTCCTGAAGGTCAGTAGGGAGGAGGCAGATCTAATTTCACTGAGGAGGGAGTTCCACAGACGAGGGGCCATGACTGAGAAGGCCCTGTCTCTTGTCCTCACCAACTGACCAACAAAACATTTCAGGCAAAATTTAAGGAGATTTCAAGGAAATCCAGAGGGCCCAATGTTCAGTGAGATCCTATGGACCAGCTATGGTTCTCAAGCCATGCCTTCCAGTATTTCACAGTTAAAAAATCAGGCTACATGTGGATAAGCAGAACAAGACCCAAAACCATTTGAACCATATAACACGGATGTTATGTATTGTGCTGGTACGGCTGTACCAGGAGCACCAACTTCCTTTTCTTTCTTTGAATGTTTGCATGTATTCCAAAGTTTCATGCATTTTGCAATAAAGTGGGTTCCCTTGGTTTGCAGCCGCCTGCCTATCATCATTGGTTTTTTTAGTTCCGCCCCTTTCCCCATGGTTCAGGAAGGAAAGGGAGCCATTTTTGTTCAGTCTTACAGTTGAAAGCTTAGCTACAGGATTGCGAATCAGCTCCACCTGTAGAGAAGCTTTGTTTCTTACCAAATTCTGGGGAAACACAGTTCCAATGGACTCCAGCTGGAGAATCTACAAAGCCTTGGCTGGTAGGTCTACTCGGGACCCAAGAAGCAGTTTGGAGCCGGGAGTAGAGTCCACACCAGCAAAGTTTAGAAAGTTGTCCAAGGAGAGGTTAAAAAGGGTTTTCCTCTTAAAGAAAAGAAACAGTTCACGAAGCCAGTTGCCTGTCCCTTGTGGACAAGATTAAGAAAGCCACCAGTTGAAGTATTTGTTTGATTTGTTGAAGATCTGAGAAGTATTTGATTGTTTTGTTGAAGACCTAAGCAATAATAAAGAACCTTGTTAAACTTTTCAAGCTTCTAAAGACTTTTGTATAGGAAAATCCTTCGGGCCTCTCAGCTGAGGCACCCCGGCTTCCCGCAGGGCACAAAGAGCACGTCCTGTTCAAAAGTAACATATTATGCAAGTTCATGTTATGTGGGTTCAGCTAAATGCAAAGCCCCCTTCCATGGAAGAAGAAAAGGGCAGTAGGCTGCCAGGTTGCCTTTGCTGAGATCCCAAAACTGGACCCTTCCTCGGGTGTCAAATCCAGTGGGTAGCCCAGCTGTACTTCTCTTGGCAGATGAAGGAGATGAACACTTTTCTTGGCTGAGAGAGACAGCCAGGTCTTCCTGCCTTATTTGGCACCTGGGGAGAGGGCTGTTCTCAGGATCTCGGTGTGGGAGGCTTGTGCCCCATAATGTGAGTCTGCCCTAGAGCTATTCTCCCTTCCATGGGTCAGAAGATGAGGGGAGGAATATTTTGCTATGTACAGTATTTTCATCTTTCGGTATCCTGCCAACTAGGGAAAAGACCTGATGGATGAGATCTCTCCCCAGAAAAAGAGCTCCAGATTTTTTGTGAAAATCGTATTTCACAAATAATCTTGGGATAGATTCCTCACATAATACACAGGCACACTGTATAGGGAAAGGGGCAGAATCTAAAGCAACAAAAGGTGGAAGAGCAGGAGAAGCATCAAGAAGAGAATCAGAAGAAGGGTCAGGATTTCTTGCTTCCCATTGTTGCCAGTCAGATGTGTTTAGTGAAACCTACAGTCAAGAGATGTGGACAACACAATTTTTGGTGTTGCTTCTCAGAAATTTCTATTCAGAGGAATAGAGGGTGACATCAATTTTGGGACCTTGGATATGCAAAAATGTAAAGTGGTCTTCAGTCTTCATACGCACACACTGCATACAGCCATGATAATTGCATTGCTAGTAACAGGTAAAAATAACAAGCCTCCAGCCTTGATTGTGGTAAGAAGGGTGCTAAAAGTTGTTTCCTGTCTTCTCTTCCTTAGAAGCATAGGAACATTTTGCATTTAGTAACTATGTTTTTCATTTTGCCTGTGTGGGGCAATGTGGAATAGAAGATAAAAATATTTGCACACCTACGCATGCTGAACTTTCTGACTGAAAGGTTGACGTTTCGAATCCGGGAAGCAGGGTTAACTCCTGCTGTTAGCCCCAGCTTCTGCCAACCTAGGAGTTCGAAAACATGCAAATGTAAATAGATGAATACGTAGCATTCTGGCAGGAAGGTAACGACACTCCATGCAGTCATGCCAGCCACATGACCTTGGAGATGTCTATGAACAAAGCCCGCTCTTTGGCTTAGAAATGGAGATAAGCACCACCCCCCAGAGTTCAACACGACTAGACCTAATGTCAAGGGGGAACCTTTACCTATGGGGTTACATTGTGTTTTAATTTGTGTATGTTACATGGATCCCATACTAAGAGAAAAATGGGATATTAAATAAATAAATAAATAAATAAATAAATAAATATGTGAGCAATGTGGGAGCGGGTGGGGGTGGGGAGAACAGAATGAGGGTAAAGTTCTTATTTCAAATTCATATATCTTTCATGTGCAATCAGTCTATAATTGCATTGAAGCAGACTTAGCAGCTGTAGGGGCTTACTAATGAAAATTGATTAAATTATGAACTAAGATATAATTTGTTAATGAAAAGGGGCACCTCAATCACACTGATTATTTTTAATGAAAGTGATTAACTGAACTTGGAATTTTAGCATTACCTTTTCTCCAGAACCAAGGCATTAATTATTGTTTTATTAAATGAATCACTGTGCTGAAAAAGAAACATACTTTACATTATCTGGTATCTTTTGTAAAATAAATGTATTATTTACAAATAGAGAAAACAAGTATATGCTTGGCACTACAGTTGTAATTATTACTTTAACCAAATCCTAGCTATTTGGGTGCCTTTAGGGGTAGAAATACCAGCAAAAAACAAAATGCATTCAGGGAAAAGGACAGAAAGCAAAAGACAAAGCAAAAGAGGAGTGAGGGATTCAGAGAGTTCATTTGCTAGTAAAGATGATCCAAGATGAACTAGTTCTGGGTGGAGGAAGAGATGATCCAGCAAGAAAGAAAAATAATGAAAGGAAAAGTAGAAAAATGACTTTGTGGTAGGTTAAAAAATGAATTCTGATTGCAGGTGAAGCAAGGCATTCATTATGGCTCAGAAAATCCATACGAGTTTGATGACTTTCCTCCCATTAATGTGGGTACTGGGATCTAAGCAGATTCTCGAGTTGAGATCAAAGATTTGAATCTGAACTCTGGTGGACATTAAATGATACATGGAACTTAAATATGAATTGTGTAATTGCAAAAGAAACTCTGGGTAGCACCTGACATTTAGTCTCTTCTGTTCCAGAATACCTTAGCCAAAGCATTATATGACAACAAAGCTGAGTGCCTGGATGAGCTCGCCTTCCGCAGAGGAGACATCCTGATGGTTCTTGAACAGAATCTTCTTGGAAGTGAGGGGTGGTGGAAATGTTCCCTCCATGGAAAGCAAGGCCTGGCCCCAGCAAACCGCCTCCAGCTTCTCACACCTTCAGTGGTTCCCTCCACCCAACATGATGCTGAAGGACTACCAGTCAGCCCACAGACAATCTATCAGGTTCCTTCAGCCCACAGGTCTTCCACATCATTATCGGTCTATGAACACATGGATGGTTGGATTACTCCATCTCCTCCTCCTTCTTTGTCTTCTTCTCATCCTGTGACACAGGAATTATACCAAGTGCCAGCTTTGGCAGCTCAAGTTCTCAGTGAAAAGACTCAGAGTTCATCGAATCAGGTAAAGATGTATGAAAACTCTCCTCCCCAGGAAAAGGAATAGTGAGCAACAAATAGGCAGCAATGAAGAGCCACAAATTATGGATGCTTTTATTTAATCTTCCCTCCCTTTCCCCAAGTGTTCTCCATCTATCTATCTATCTATCTATCTATCTATCTATCTATCTATCTCATTTCAACTCATGCATGTATACATTGTACACACACACCTGTTTCCATGCACATAAGTCTCCAAACATGCATGGGACCTGGCAACTTCACTCCTCTGGAAAATTACTAGACATTTCTAGTGGACTACCTACTGCTTGTGTAGGATGGTCACCTGTCCTCTTTTATAGAGGATGGTCTTCTACTTCAAAGTTGTTTCTATCTGAAGGTCCTTCCAATATAAAGATAATAATATTTTTAGTCGAATGTATCATGCAGCTTTTAACACCCTCTGTCTCTGTTGCCCATTCTAGAAACTTATTATACGTTTTTGTTACATTTTCTTTTCTGTTTTTATCAGTTGGTCCCAGAATTCCTCTTTCTCATTGAATATGATCATTTTATCCTGTTTGTATCTCTTATCAGGAGATACTGGAATCAAGACAGATGTTTATATTCCTGAGTTAGTTCTTCTTGTGATTTTAAGTTGAAAGTATCATTATTTTTAATCAATATTTCCCTGTAGGTTGGCCATTTTGTCCAACCTAATAGTCTTATTTGTTTAGTTTCTAATGGCGAGAGCCATAGTGGAGTTTTTGAATAAAAATATTTTTTATATTTGTCCCAAATTTTTATAATAGCAGACCTAATACAAGTGAAAAATGTTTAAGAAACCCTATCCTAGTCCTGCACTCAACATCCAGGCTCTCAAGTATATTACACAACTATTCAAATCCAAGTTTGGGAAGTAACTAGCAAATTGACACATTTTCTTTCAGTTTTGCATATCTCACTAGATTCCCCAGTGAACAGCAAAGTTAGAAATATACTTTAGTGAATTACATCATTGAAATGGGGCTTCTCCTTCCTGTCAACTCTGTTAAACAGGAAGATTTCCTCCTAAGGGGGAAGTGTTATCATGGAAGGAAAAGCATCATATGGCTCTGTGGTTAGGAAGAAAGAAAGAAAGAAAGAGACCTTTCCAGAGCCTGAGAAAAATTCCTCTCACTCTTGTTCGCATGGTTGCATGCCTTGCTTGACATCACAACAAACAGCTTTGCCATCGGGACTCTGTCAGAGAGGTCCGTGGTAGGAAAGGAAGGCAGCAGCAGCCCTGAGCATGAAGACACATATTTTTCTTTTTGTGGTGAAAATCCCAGTCTACCCCTTCATTGTTGATCCCATACCGGGCTTGGTTGGGATGTGAGTGGTGGCCTCAGGATTATTTTTATTTAAACATAAATGGGATCAACGAATATTAAATAGTAGGTTGTTGTAGGTTTTTTCGGGCTATATGGCCATGGTCTAGAGGCATTCCCTCCTGACGTTTCGCCTGCATCTATGGCAAGCATCCTCAGAGGTAGTGAGGTCTGTTGTAACTAGGGAAAAGGGTTTATATATCTGTGGAATGACCAGGGTGGGACAAAGGACTCTTGTTTGCTCGAGCTAGGTGTGAATCTTTCAACTGACCACCTTGATTAGCATATAATGGCCTGACAGTGCCTGGAGCAAACTTTTGTTGAAAGGTGATTAGATGTCCTTGTTCGACAATATATTAAATATATTGTTGAAGGCTTTCATGGCCGGAATCCATGGAATCCAATATATTAAATATTACAACCCAGAAAGTCACACTGAAAAAAATGGTGACACTTTCCACCTACCAGTCGATCATCATTCCCTGGGCTCCCTTGATTCAGATAGACACATATAACTAAATATCATCCTCCCCGCCCCCCCCCCCCAGAAACAATTAAGCAAGAGGCTAGTTTTTTTAAAAAAAAATCACATTACAATGTAAAAGAGCTGCTTTTATTGTCTTATATTGTGTGATTTGTTAGTGGAGACAAACCCAAGAACAGTGCCAGCCTAGCTCAAAATGTTAAGACAAAAACTAGAGACCTTTCTTCTGTTTTCAGCCTTCCATTCTCCTATTGTACTTTCAGGTCCTGTGGCTCCATGTCTGTTGTATTGCCCATAGCAACCATCATGAAGCTGAGAAATAAAGTATTGCCAGCTTTATATATTTCAGCAGGAATGTGTTGAAATGTTCTCTCACTGCTGTAGCAAACTGTAAGACACTTGCACTTCTCATCAAGATCAGTAAAATACTAAAACTAAAATACATTTTTCCTCTGGGAAAAGACTAAAGTGTTAGAAGTATCTTGATCTTTTTATAAAAAAGTAGAAAAAGGACAATTTGGAAAGTTTATTTTAAAAACCTTGATAGTTTGAAAACAGCGAGTGAGTAAAGAAAATGCTTGAATTTGAAATGAATTTTCTGCTATAATGCCAATAATTCATCTTTCTGACAGTGAAAATGAATGGTGGTAAATTTAACTCCTCTAGTTCATTATTTATTTATCTATTTCGAGCATTTGTATCCTGTCCTTCTCAACCCCTGAGGGGGGACTCAGGGTGGCTTACAACTGACAATCATTAGATGCCAACAAACAAACAATCACAATACAAACAATTAGCATTAAATAAGATAACAAGATTATAAAATACATTAAAATACTGTCCATTAAAATATTAAAACACAGCCAATCCTAAGTCCGCAAATCCAAATCACAGTCCAGAGTTCCAGTCCAAGATCTATTCATTGACAATTCTCATGAGTCATTGCAGTTGCTGCTCAGTCAGCTGCCCGAATGCTTGGTTTCAAAGCCAAGATTTAAGGGTTTTTTTCTAAAGGAGAGGAGAGAGGGAGTCACCCTGATTTCACTGTGGAGTGTGTTCCATAGCCGGGAGCCACCACTAAGAAGACCCTGTCTCTCGTCCCCATAGTTCATTGATGGAATTTAGTATGCCAACATGTAGCAATAGTTTGCTTGATGGCTTATCTGTATGAACAAAAAAACCCAGGACTTCAACATGAGTCTAGTGCTGGCCGTCTACATAATGCATGGGGATCTCCAGTGAGGAGTTGTTTTAATCGTTCAGTCGCTTCCGACTCTTTGTGACCTCATGGACCAGCCCATGCCAGAGCTCCCTGACAGCCATTGCCACCCCCAGCTCCTTCAAGGTCAAACCAGTCACTTCAAGGGTAACATCCAGCCTCAATTCCTTCCCCCTTCCATTTTCCCCATCATCATTATCTTCTCCAAGCTTTCCTGTAGTCTCATTATGTGACCAAAGTACCTCCTCCTAAGTTACTTTCTGTGAGTATCATGAGTTTTCTTCCCTTAGTCTGACTTTGCTCTGCTTTAGCCACAGTTGAGGATACTCTGGAGTTAGCAGGACATTTTGGAGTACACTGAGGCTTTGCTGCTATCTTCACAACCGGATTGGGACAATTTCAGCTTGATTCACTATCCAGATTAGCCTTGCCATCATCACCTTTTTCCTGAGCTGATCAGTGAAGGGAAAAGGATGGTTCATCCTTATGTCGCTGCTGTCGCTCCTTGCTGGCCACAGAGCTCTTTGCAAGGGCTTGACCACCACTGTCACATCTGCTAGTGTCAGAATGGGGCACATATATGACCAGCAAGAAGGAAATTGTCACTCTATGTCAGCAAATGTGACTAGTGACAGCCAGATGCTTGGAAGGAACAAGGAGCAACACCAGTGACATGGGACAGGCTAGCATAGAGAAAAGCTGGACCATTTGGACACTGGCTGTGAATTCAGCAGGTATTTGCAGAGCTACATCAGAGTAATCTGCCCCAAATAGATGTGGTCTCAGTAGGGTTAAATAATATATGTTAATGACTTAGACAAAATTAGCGATACAACTCTCACTACCTAATGCTGGTGGTTGATACAGTAACTGGAAATGAGGGCTTGAAAATGTTCTTGTTTTGGACTACAACTGACAAAAAACCTTAGTATAGCCAGTGTTCAGGGATGTTGGGAGTTATAGTCTTAAAAAAGAAGAACTTTTCTAAAGTTCTCATCAATTGTGGGTTATTTGAAACTGCTACATGATAATGCTCGTGAATTTAAAGTTTACTGAAGTCACACATCACAGTTGTTGCTATAAAGAACAACTGTGTCACAGCAATTCATCACAACATTTATACATACACACATACTTAAAGAATGTGGAGGATGAACAGCCCAGCTGAGCACAGGAATAGAAGCAGGGTAAACCCAAATCTCATAGAGACAGCTGGCTTGTGATGATCAGCTGCTCCTTTGGCAGCTGGGGAAAGCTGGTCTCTGTTTAGGAATTTAATTCAGAACATGGCTGTATGAATGTGTTGTCGAAGGCTTTCATGACTAGAATCACTGGGTTGCTGAAAATTTTTCGGGTGGTATGGCCATGTTCCAGAAGCATTCTCTCATGAAGTTTCGCCTGCATCTATGGCAGGCATCCTCAGAGGTTGTGTGGTCTGTTGGGAACTAGGAAAATGGGGTTTATATATCTGTGGAATATCCAGGGTGGGATAAAGAACTCCTGTCTGTTGGAGGCAGGTGTGAATGTTTCAATTGGCCACCTTGATTAGCATTTAATGCCCTAGCAGATTTCCAGGTGTGGCTTGAAAACATTCACACCTACCTTCAACAGACAAGAGTTCTTTCTCCCACCCTGGACATTCCACAGATATATAAATCCCATTTTCCTAGTTTCCAGCAGATCTCACAACCTCTGAGGATACCTGCCATAGATACAGGCAAAATGTCAGGAGATAATGCTTCTGGAACATGGCCATACAGCCCGAAAAACTCACAGCAACCTATGACTGTATTAATTTTATATCCCTCAATCTTGCCTTGTTTTCTCAAAAAATTCAAAGGTAAAGCAATGGCTTGGAATGTCTGCCTACTCAAAATGAGCCCATATATCCAATACCATCCAAGGCTACAAAGATATAAACTCAGATCTTTTAGATTTTTTGGAAAACATGTGAGATCACAGTAGTCTGGTCTCAGGCAAACGTTGTTCCATCCTACGAAGGAGGAAAAAGAAGGATTTGAGCTGACCTACCAGCTTCAATGTTTGTATCAGGAAAGGTACTAGAACAGAGGTCACTGAACAAGATGATTAAAAATGTTGTGTAAGAGCTACCATGGGTTTCTCAAAATCAAGTCATGCCAAAATAATAAAATCTCTTACTTTGATAGATCAAGGGAATGTGTGGTTGATATCAGATATATCCAATACCAATACTTACCTTGATATCAGTAATGCTTTCAAAAAGGCCCCCTTAAATTCTTTTGGACAAGATAGTACAATATATGCTAGGTGATTTTAGCATTTGATAAATTTGTGGAGAGCCACTGTGGTATAGAAAAAGGTACAAATCCCCACTTGGCCATGGAAACATCATGCTCTCTTAGCCTCAGAGGAAGTTGATGATGAACCTCTAAATTCTTCTGATTTTGTTTTTACGGTTGTGTAATATCCTCCTTGAACTCCTGACCCCTTATTGGGAACGCCTTCTGTGTCAGAAAGAGAAAAGGTTAGGGAGTAGTGCGAGATGAGCCTGCAGTTGCATGTGGCCTCACAGAGTGGGAGAAAAATGCCATGAGATAGGATCAAAATAAGATCTCCCCTTCTAAAAAATGTAAAACAGGTCTTTTTGCAGCTACCTGCTTTTATGCAGAAGACATAGACTTTCTGTGTTTCTCAGACAGCGATGTACAAATCCTTGATTTGTAGCAATAATTCATATCTCCACTTACATTCTTGTTTCATCCCTGTCTGTAGTCAGTTCCCACATGGAGCTGTACACACTGGTCCCTCTGGCCGAAAGGTATTTGCATGTAATTTTCAAACATGATTGTTGTTATTTGGGTGCAATCATGGTGCGAAGAGCAAATGTGCTTGCTTTCAAGACAAAAACCGAACATTATAATCAAGTAGCAAAAGATTAACTGAAATCCAAGAAAAACTGTTTCTTTCAATTCCTGAACACAAAAATGTTCACAGAATGCATATCTTGATAATTTCTCTTTGCTCTCTTTTCCTTAGCACCTCTTTACTCTCCCAAGAGCAACCTGGGCTTCGGCTTCTGCATTGGAGAGAAAAAGTGATATATATGATGTTCCATCACCACAGCATCGTGCATCTCTCTTTGCTCAGGTGAGTCCCTCTGTGTTAACAAAACTCACCAGCAGATGACAACAGCAACAACCTAAAAATTATTACCATCCACATTCAGTTGACCCCTTTGTGGATCCATGATCAAGACACCTGCCTTCCCCCCATATAAAATAAATTGCGTAGCTGATAAAAGTGTTCAAAGGGGATACTATAAATTAAAAAGGCACAAAAACTGCAATTAAGTTTCATTTTACAATTTTCCTGGCACTCAAGGGCTAATGTCAAAATATAATGTGTTAAATACTGTGCATTATACTATGGGTATAATAACCTAGGCATGGGCCAACTTGGGCCCTCCAGGTGTTTTGGACTTCAATTCCCACAATTCCTAATGGCCTACCAGCCATTAGGAATTGTGGGAGTTGAAGTCCAAAATACCTGAAGGGCCCAAGTTGGCCCATGCCTGGTATAACCCATCATAGGGTGCATAGACTATGGAATCAATGCATTTTGACCCCACTTTAACTGCTATGGATTCCATAGAATTGTAGTTTTACAAAGTCTTTAGCCTTTTTTTGCCAAAGTTTTTGGTGCCTCACTAAACTACAATTCCCAGCATTCCATAGTTGTGAGCCATGGCAATTAACATAGGGTCAAATTGCATTAATTCTACAGTGTAAACGCATTCATAGATAGCAATATGAGTTGTCTGGGGGCTTTTCTTGCAATAAAATAGCATATCTGACATATAATTATTCAACTAAACTCAACAAATAGACATGTTTACTTTATATTCTGTATTTGTTTTTCCAACAGCCAAAAGTGGCTAAATTCAAAGGTTTATTTATGAATAGACACACCTCCAAACAGTAAACTATGTTTACTAGTGATTAAATATGAAAGCCATATTAAAAGTAATGCCTACCATATCATGCTTTAAAAAAACAACAAAACTTAATTGATTACATACATGTGTAAAGTCATGCTTTGTCAACAATTTAAAAAAGTCTCCACCAATACCAATGCATTTATGCCACTCATCAAATCCACTTTGGAGAAACATTTTTGGGCACCCCATGTTCCAGTATTTGATAACATCATCTGCTAAGCCTACACCACTGAAGCATAGACACCCCACCCAACTCCATTCACACCCCCGCAGAGCCTTTGAAACTGAAGCAACAAATTAATAATGTCCTGCATATTGTAGCAAGCAGCTGCTGTACTAGCTGAAGTGGAGATTTCCACACAGACATTTCCTCTTGCCCAGACCTGCATACACTGTTAAGACTGGAGAATGCACACCCGTTAGTTTCCCAAGTGGTGATGGCTTGTAACAAATGGAAACTATGTCATTGGGTTTTTGTGGCAAGATTTATTGCTGACAACTAACTAAAGGACCTGTCGATAGACAAGGACAATGGAATGGAATGGATATATGGACTCTGATATATGGACTCTGACATGAGATAGTTTTTATGATTTTATTAGGTATTGATGTTTTATTTTAATTGTTGAATTGTTATATTTTGTATTGTTTGTTGTGTGTTTTGGGCATCTAATTGTGCCTTTCCTGTAAGCCGCCCTGAGTCCCCCTCGGGGTGAGAAGGGCGGGGTATAAGTAGATGAAATAAATAAATAAATAAATAAATTTTGCCTTCTTCTGAGGCTGAAAGTGGGACTTGCCTTAGGCCACTCAGTGTGCTTCTGTGGCCAAGCAGGGATCTGAAAAACAACATCACAGTTGGGTTTCAAACCACCACACCGCACTGTCTCTCTTTAGCAAGCTTACTTTGCTAAATTCATATTTGAATCCAGAAAAAAAAAACCTCCTGAACTATATTTATTGAGCCATTCTGCCATCTAGTGACTATATTCTTTTAGCACACCGTTATAGCAGTACATGTATAAATGTGTAAGTCTAGAAATGTTAGTAAAAATTGAGTTGATATATCCACATTCAGGATAAATATGCCACCTTTGCTCGTATCAAAAAAGGAACCATCTCTTCTCTGAATAGAGTGGTGCAATGTGAGAGCTCAGGGCCCTTCCACGCAGCCCTATATCCCAGGATATCAAGGCAGAAAATCCCACAGTATCTGCTTTGAACTGGGTTATCTGAGCATTAGGTAGTGAGAGTTGTGTCTGCTCTGATGTGCACCAATTAAAAGAAATGTGTAAATAATTCCTGACTGCATCACTGACAAAATATAGAGGCTGATTTCTTTTTAAATGTTTAATTAGGGTCTCGCCACTCCTCCTTCCTCCAGAAAGGGCTCCAGACTATTTCCCTCCACAGAATATTGCCTGGGGAAAGCACAGCAACTTTATGACATCCCATTGAGCCCGGAAATGGCACAAAGGCGCACCCGGCAAGAATCTTCATTGGACAATGTAAGTGATATAGGTAAATACATTCCTCTGAAACACCAAAATATTCTGGGCATAATCAGCAGAATATCATTTTCAGGGCTAGGTCATTAAACTTAAATCCAGAGTTGAACAATGAGCACTGCGAGCTAAGGATTCCTGCAGTAAATAGCAAGACGCAAAGCAAGATGTTTAAGGCTCGTGGTTTTTTTTGGTGTGTGTGTGTGGGGGGGGGGGMGTTTGTTTTTTTGTTTTGTGTGGACTGACCAATACAAGTTTCTCACTGGGGCTGATGCTGCAAAGTTAAACTGCAAGACAGGACAAGGCCCATAAAAGTGAAGATAGGGCCCTTCCAGACAGGCCCTATATCCCAGGATCTGATTCCAGGTTTTCTGCTTTCAACCAGATTATATGAGTCTGCACTGCCAGATAATCTGGGATAAACAGAGGACCTAGGATCAGATCCTGGAATATGGGGCCTATCTGGAAGGGCCCATAGAAGTGTTCCCCCCAAAACATGAAATCTTTTATCTTATTGTGGACTTCAAGTCATTTTTTGCCTATTGCTATCCTATCACTGCATTTTCTTGACAATATTTTTTGTGGGGGGATTGATGTTGTCTTCCTCTAAGGCTAAGAGTGTATGGCTTGGCCAAGATCTTTCAGTGGGCTTCCATGTATGGATTAGAACCTTGGTTTCCCGAGTTGGAGTCTGATGCTCAGAACAGTACACCATGTGTGATACTAATGCCAGTATACATTCGTGAAATTCATGACATAATACGTTTACAGTACTTCCTTAGTGGTTTTTACATGACATCTTTCATCTGGTTAAAGAGATAGCTGATGTTGCAAGTTTAACAGGAAGTAAGTTCCATTGACTCAGTGGGTTAGCTTTAAGTACAGAAACATTAAACTGGACTGCAAGTGATTGGACTGATAGCATTCTTTACCTGTCTGACTCTCTCCTGCTTTCTAATTTTCATTTGAACAGAATATATATATATAATTTATCATGTTCATGTAGTTATTAATTTCAGTTTGCAGGTGATTTTTAAAAGAGTTTTTTCCCCTACTCCACAACCTTTAAGTTCCTCGAAAACTCACCAAACTTCCTCTTTTTGTGTGTTTACTAAGTGCATGATGTTTCACTCTTTATAGTTGGTTTCCCTCAGCATTCTAGCTTACAATGTTTATCTAGAATTTTAAAAATTATATCATTTGGTTAATTGAATATATATATATATATATATATATATATATATATATATATATACACACATACACACACACACACACACACACACACACACCCGCGCACACACACATTACAGAAAAACACAAATTATATTACAATAATGATAATAATAATAATAATATGCATTTTTCTTTCTGCTTCTCTCCAGGTATATGTCATTCCCACAGGAGTTTCTAAGGATCTTGTCACAGGAAATCATTTGGCTCACTACAATACCTTACCAAACCTTCGGAAATCCGAATGGGTCTATGATATACCTGTGTCACCTGAAAAATCAAAACAAGCTACTCAGAATCATTCCCCAAATAGGCATGTGCTTTATGATATACCACCAGTTAGGCCTGATTCAGGAATGCAAAAAATCCCATCTGTCAACAGTGAAGACAAATTAGTGAATACAGAAGCATACGATATTCCACCCATACGAAATAAATTAGCTTCTCCTATGAGTCTTCTTTATGACATACCATCCACACATGATGCTTTAGTGCAACATCAGAATGGCATTCCTTCAGATGCTCTTTCCTCCAAGACCGAAAAGGAGAACCACCAACAGACTGTCTATGATATTCCAAAAGGAATGCCTGTTGCTTTGACACAAAAGAAAGAAAATGCACATGGTGACAGATCTGAAGATAATGTACACAATTTCCCTCTGCTGTTGTCCACAGATGGCAGATTAGATCAAGACAGATTGTCTGTCTCAAGTATAGGCAGTAGAACCAGCACCATATCGACATTATCAAGCTCTTCTACTGAGTCCTTTTCATCTACAGCATCATCATCAACTCTGTCATCATCTTCAGAAGAGTCCACTAAGAAAAGTACCATGGAGCTTGAGGTGGCCATAGGGACTCTAACTAAACTACAGCACAGTGTATCAAGCTCAGTGGCAAGCCTAATGATCTTTGTGAGCAGCAAGTGGAGATACCAAGAACATCTAGAGGGAAACATTGAGGAAATCCACAGAGCAATTGATCACATTAAGGTCTCTTTGGGAGAATTCTTGAACTTTGCTCGCACCATCGAAGAAAATGCTGCTTCAGGCTGTGATAGCAAACTTCAGGCAAGGATTAAAGAGCAGCTGAATAACCTCACAGGCTCTTTTCAGATACTGGTGGAAACTAGGGATGCACTGAATGATTGCAAATGGTCACTCGACCTTCTAGTAATTAAGAAACCTCAGAGTAACCCAGATGACCTGGATCGTTTTGTTATGGTGGCTCGCACCATTCCAGATGACATCAAAAGATTTGTCTCCATCATCATAGCTAATGGGAAACTACTTTTCAGAAAGAACTGTAAAGACAAAGATGGGAAAGATGAAAGAACTGGTGGAAAGCAAAAACTATTAAAGCACACATTGGAATGTCGAGTAGAAGATGAGTCTGTTCAAAAAAGTATTTTTGATAAGCCAAAGGAAAATAAACCATGTTCAGAGAAGCTGAGGGTTGATGATACTGAAGATTGTGATTATAGCCGGATACAGGTACGTGAGACTGGTATTGCAGCAGGGACAAGTACTGGTAAATGGTTTGAGATTGAGGGTAACCTTTTCTCAAAGAAAAGTGGTTGAGGCCCAGATTCAGCAGAGACATGCTTTCAGAAATATTACTCTTGATGTTCCCTGGTTAAAAATAAAATTACAATGCTCAATAGGAAAATGGGAACAAATTGTTTTTTTAAAAACATTATAGTAGAGGCTAAAGCAGTAAAAACTGAGCATCTCTTGTCCAAAAATTGGAGATCCTAAAAAATCTGACATTGTTCACCTGGGTAGATGAGATAGTGACATATCTGCTTTCTGATTTATTCCAAAAATTATATTAAATGAGTGTACTATATTACACATAAATGAATTTCCTGTTTAGACTTGGGTCTCATCTCCTCGATATCCCATTATACAGTATAAAAGGTAAAGGTTTCTCCTGACATTAACTCTGGGGGGTGGTGCTCATTTCCATTTCTAAGCCAAAGAGCCAGTGTTGTCCATTGACATCTCCAAGGTCATATGGCCAGCATGACTGCATGGAGTGCCATTACCTTCCCGCCGGAGCGGCACCTATTCATATTTGCATGTTTTCAAACAGCTAGGTTGGCAGGAACTGGACTAACAGCGGGAGCTCACCCCGCTCCCCATACTTGAACCACCAACCTTTCAGTCAGCAAGTTTAGCAGCTCAGCATTTAACCTGCTGTGCTACCAGGGGAACCCCTATTATACAGTATGCATCTATGCAAATGTAGATATTCCCAAAAGGAAAAAAAAAATCATTTCTGGTGCCAAATATTATGGATTTAGAAGTCCTCAACCTGTGTTCGTGATGGTACCTCTCCTGTAGAATTTGGGAAAGTTACTTTTCAAGAGTCCACTAGCCAGCATTGCTATAAGCTCCATTATTTCTTCCAGCTGTTCACCAGTGCACAATAAGTGTGCATGATATGGGGACTTAAAAAGCCAATGTGGATGGGTTGAGCCAAGAGTTCCTTTACCAGTAATTCACCACCATGCACACACAGAAATTCCACAATAACTAACCCTAACGGTAAATTACACATCTGGAGAATTTTACCTTGAAAAGCCTATGAAGAGGCAAATCTTTTCCAAGATATTCTCAGATCTTCAGCTGGCTTTGGAATGGTTTGGATGTCTGCATGAGCAATAGGGTCCCCATCAGAAGCCCTTCCACCGAATTTGCATTCCATTCAAGACAGAATGGCTAGCCCAGTTGTAGTTTTCTGAAGGCTCACCAGGCAGTTACTCTGATGTCATTTTTGGTACCAGATAAAGATTCCCAGGCTTTTCAATTGAAACGGATCTGCTCTATCATGTCTGGGTTTGTTTTGAATTCTACTCCCAGCCATTTCCCTGGTTTTAGTGTATTTTTAGATGTTTTCAATATGTATAAGTTTTATTGGTGTAAAGACTGAATTTTATTAAAGGAAAGTAAGTCGCCCTTTTGCTAAATATAGATCATTTCTGATGATGGCGCACTTCAGACAGGACCTTGGAAGACATAGTCAGTGATCAGAAAGACATAATTGGGAGCAAATAGACTCAAAAGAAGGGAAATATATTCTTTAGCAAAGCAGCAAGTACAAAAAGGTATTAAAGTATATTTGCAAAGCATCCATGCCCAATTTTTACTGTAGGAACAGGACTTGTACCAAAACAGATCATCAGCCTATATAGGACAATATTGCCAACGTTGACTGGCAAAGGCTTTCAGACAGGATTTTTGCTTAGTTACACTTGAAGGGTTGAGCTTGGGACCATTGCCATGCAAAGCATATACCCAATTACTGAACTGTAGTGGGATATTGTACTTTGTTCTTATCATGATACAAAAAAGTTCCATGGCAATTCTGTTCTGGAATATTAAAAAACAAGACTGGTAAATGCTCTTTCTGTATTTATGGATTATGGTCAGAGGCGGCTCTAGGTAGTTTTCAACGGTAAGCAAACAGTATTTTTGCGCCCCCCAACCAACCAATCACTGGTATATATTTTCTGTTCGTTGTGGGAGTTCTGTGTGCCATGTTTGGTTCAATTCCATCATTGGTGGAGTTCAGAATGCTCTTTGATTGTAGGTGAACTATACATCCCAGTAACTACAACTCGCATATGTCAAGGTCTATTTTCCCCCAAGAGCGCTTCAAGAGTGCCCCTGGGCAAAATCAACTATACTGTAAATGCTTACTTTGCGTAATGGGTTGAGCCGCCCCTGATTATGGTCAACATTTATGTTCAGTATGAAACTGACATGGTTTTTTTTTCTCCTTTGAAGAAACCAGTAGGATTGGAACAAGCACAGCCGTTTCCTTCACCTTGTAAGACAGAGGAAAAGAATGTCAAATTAAAAATAAAGGTAATATTATTTAGTATAGCAGTGCTCTACAATGATGACTGAATTATCTGTTGTTTTATTCCCATTAGTACATCTGTGAGACTGATTTTAATTAAAAAAAGAGAACAGTGAAAAGGAGCCCCTACAACTGTTCACAAATTGTATTTCTAAAACTATACAGCATCTGACTAGGGATATATGGAGGTGCAGAAGTTGGCAGATGTCATGTTAACAAAAGGCATTGTGCAAGAAAAGGGAAAATGCCTTTTTTAAAGTCAATATCTGACCCATGCTTCATTCTGCACCATCTCATTATCAGGTCTTCAAACAAGAAATAAAATATATAAAGACTGCCATACTTGGTGTGATTGAGCTAAAGTGGACAGAAATGAGACATTTTCAATCAGATAATTATATAATGTTTTACTCTGGAAATGACAATCTAAGAAGAAGCGTGCAGCTTTAACAGTGAGACGAAGTGGAGCAAAAGCAGTCATAGGATGGAGTGTGAAATCTGGGAAGACTTGGCATTAATAAGAGCAATAAAATTTAATGGAAAACCTTTCAGTATAACCACAATCCAAATTTATGTTCCAACTACAAAGGCAGATTAGGCAGATATGAAAGAACTAGATAAGATCCTTAAGTATAAAGCTATATAATGGAATATTAATGTCGGAATCATCAATCTCATGGTATTTCCAGTTTCTGTGTATAGTTCTAAAGTGAAACAGAGAAGAAAGCTGATAGGAAGAGAACCTACTCATTTGAAATGAGGTGCCAGAGTTCTATTGTCACCATAGCTTGCTAAAAGGAGCCATAAATGGCTTTGAGAACAAATGTATCTTGAACTCTCATTACACGTCAAAATTACAAAATTGGGCTATTATACTTTGAGATGTATCATGAAATAACATGACTCATTGGAAATAATGACAATGCTCAGCAACACAGAATGCAGTAGGAAATGAGGAGGATGACATTGACTCAATAAGGAGGTCGGAAGTCTCCCATTTCTAAAAAACTGAAGAATAGTAACTGACATATATATGCATGTTCCTCTGCAAATAGTTTTTCCATGTGCAGATCTTACAGTTATTCAGTGGATGAGCTAGTAAACTTAATTAATAAAAATTTATTTCTTTGAATGATGTCCCTTAGAATGACATTATATATAAACTATAAAAGGACTTGATTTAATTTCAAAATGGTTACAGGATTTCTTTGGCTAAACCTCTTACCTGGAGTGGTTTAGCCAAAGAAATCCTGTAACCACTTTGTTTCCCCATTATATCACCTACAAAATCTCTTATTCTCTCTATGCTCTTGATCAAAGAAGTTGTGTCCAGGGATATTCTTTCTACTTTCCAATTTTTAAATATTTGTAGACCTGGCTTTGATCTGATTGTTTTCCAGCTTTGTAAGCTATTTGGCTTTACCATGTCAGAAGAAGGCCTTGAGAGAACTCTTTTGCAAAAATGTATAGCTGGGAGATCCACAAAAATGTCAAATTGTGCTTACCTGGTAACTTCCTGTTCTCAGTTAAGTGCTTTTCTTAGTAAATATTGCCCCACAAGGATTACATATAGGGGCCTTCCCCTTTTCTAGGCTTGTGAGGAGCTATTTTGCCATTTTAGAAAAAAAATCCTGCAGGTGGAGATAGGCAGTGAGGCAAATGTTTCCTATCTCGAACGTTTCCTATCTTGGTCTACATTGTGAAACTTTGATTATGTCAAGATTCATAAGAGTTGGCTCAACATTTGCATCAGTATTTCAGCCTACTACTTTGTCACTATTGGGAAGAGGCTCGGAGTGCATCTACACCAGGTTTGCCAAACTTTGGCCCTCCAGGTGTTTTGGACTTGAACTCCCACATGGGAGTTGAAGTCCAAAACACCTGGAGGGCCGAAGGTTACCCATGCAAGGTCTACTCTGTAGATTTAATATAGTTTGACACCACTTCACCTGCTGTCGCTGTTGTAGTTTGGTGAGGAACTTTGGCAGAGAAGGCTAAAGATTTTATAAAACTACAACTTCCATAATGTCATAGCATTGCTCCAAGACAGTTAAAGTGGTGATGGACAGCCTTAATTCTACAGTGTAGATACGCCCTCAGTGATAAAATGTATGTTTTCAAAGCAGATATGCTGAAGTTCAACTCTTGGTGAGATAAGATCAAGTGTTGACTTCTGCCAGAGACTTTGAAGTGTTTATAGTTTTTAATTGTTTTTATATGAATTTTATTATGTGATTTAACCTGTTTTAAAGGATGTATTTATGTGTGTTCGACAACATTAATTGTTGCCAGTTTGTACGCTGCCTTGAGTCGCCTTTGGGCTGAAAAAGGAAAGATAAAAGTGTGGTAAATAAATAAATTGTAACAAGTAAGAGCAAATCACAGTGGGCTAAGTGGACAAACAGCACAATCAGATTTGAGTCATCTACCACTTTTCCTAGCTGAAGTATTTCAGTTGTGATGTCATTTTATGATTACATAACTTGCCTTCTGAGAAGAAACGTTTGAGAAAGAACGGCACTCAATGTGGTTCCTGTTTTTGTTTCTCATTCTCTAGGGTTCACCACCTACAACACAAGACAGCAAGCAGGGCCCAGCCACAAAGATGGAGTTGTCCAATATCTGCAGACTATATTTTGGTGCTGTCCAGAAGGCCATTAGTGTTTTCCACCAAAGTCTTAACAAAGATCAGGCCCCTGAAGTCTTCATAGCCAAGAGCAAACTGATAATAATGGTGGGACAGAAGTTGGTGGATACCTTGTGTCAGGAAGCCATTGAGAAGACCAATCGAAATGAGATCCTGTGTGGTAGCAGCCAATTTTGTGCTTTGCTGAAGAGCTTGGCGGTCGCTACGAAAAACGCTGCAATGCAATACCCAAATCCTGAAGCTATGAGAGAACTTCAGGATCAAGCTGATGGGCTGTCAAAGTACACACAACAGTTCCGAGCAATGATGCAATGAAGCATTGACTCGTTGGGTGTTCCTGAGGATAAGATGAACATATGTTGGCAGACTCTGAAATCTTTCTTCAGTTTGCAAACACAATCCTGTCCCCACAATCTAAGAGCCCTTTCAAGGTGCAGTGGTTCTGTTTTAATTGCCATGACAACATCCTATGGAATCCTAGGATTTGTAGTATATGAGACTAGAATTCTCTGGCTGAGAATACTAAAGGCCCCTCTTTTAACTGCAAATCTGGGGTTCCATTGGGTGTTGGCAATGGCAGTCAAATTGGATTCATAGGCCATATCTGCATTTACCATTTAATGCAGATTCAAACCAGTATTGAAGAAAATAGTTTTGCTGTGCAGGTGATGACCCAAGAAATCCTGGAACTAGTTTGGAACTAGAATGGTGTTTACACAAAATACAGAGCACCGATGTGCATTAAGGTATTTTTTCATACCTTAGCGGAAGAGTGTGTTGCTTGGCTGCAGTAGTTTGAAGCTAGCTTTGAACTCCATTAAATGGTCATGCTAGATGACCATTAGTGCTGTTATCTGGTAGTGTGGAAGACCCCTTAGTATGTATGGGCCCCATCATCTTGTTCTGTTGAGCTGCAGGTCTGAATGCAAGCACTACCCGTGACAACCCAAATGCAAGTAGAAGTCTGTGTGTGACTGCAAATGTTTTTTCAGTAGGGTCCACAATTGTGTAATTGTGGACATGAGAATTGTCCTTTGCACCTTGCTGTTCCAAGAGTCAAGATATAAACTGAGGGGAGGCCAAGTCTTACTTAGGCTGATTATGACTGTTCAAATACAATGCCTTGAGTGGGGCAAAAGTGATCACGGGAGCCGAGTTTAATGTGTAGGAGTGATGGACTCTTTGTTTATTAGAAAGCATGGGTGTCAGTGTTTTCATCTGCACAAGGAAGATAATCCTACAGTAGTTCCTTGTTTCACAGGTATGTTGTAAGAATAAATATATACACATTGGATGAAACGTTTTGAAGTCTTTGGGGCTATTCAGAAGACAGTGAGCATGTTCAGCAACAGACCTGAGTAAACTATCAAGTCTATCAAACCATTGGTTGAGATAGTCCTTAACCAGGTTGGACATTTCATCCAATGTTTTATCGTTAAAGGGGAACCTTTCACACTACATAATTGTACAGTATCACTGAGGGCCCTTCCACACAGCCATATAACCTAGAATATCAAGGCAGGAAATCCCACATTATTTGCTTTGATTATATGAGTCTACACTGCCATATAATCCAGTTCAAAGCTGATAATCTGGATTTTATATAGCAGTTTATATGGCAGTGTAGAATGGGCCTATATTGCTTTTAGATTCAATGACAATTTATGATGGAGAAGCAGAGCAGGTGCACACAGTCTTACGATCTATTCTCAGTCCCTACATCTAGAATAATTGCTATGTCTGCATTAGCAATGCTGGAAATGTAAGGCAAAACTCTGCGGCATCTTTTAGTTTTGCACCCCACTAAATTCTTCAGTTGATACCACATGAAAATTCAGTGTAAGCATTTTGTATATGGACATGCTTACATAGATTGATCTTACAATGCAGATGCATCCTAAGAAACCATCAATTAGTTTTTAGCCAGTTTCTGAGAAGCAGATAAAAGAGGGCTATTCTATTATTTCTTTAATTTATATCAAGCTGAAGGGGTAGAATCAATACCAAAGTCAAACAAAGAACGTTATTATGTATTTTAAAATTAGGTCTTTCAACACCAAGTAGCAGCAGAAAGCACTCATTATCAGAAAATGGAAATGGCAGAAGAAGAATCCCAAGAGTCAGTGAATATAATTTGGGTTATAGCAGGCATGGGCAAACTTTGTCCTGCAAGGTGTTTTGGACTACAATTCCCACAATTCCTAACAGCCTACTGGCTGTTAGGAATTGTGGAAGTTGAAGTCCAAAACACCTGGAGGGCTGAAGTTTGCCCATGCCTGGGTTATAGAAAAAATGTCTAATTGGTTCTATTTCTAATGTTATAACTAGCAGCATTAGTAGTTTCTTCATTTTTAGTATCTTTATAAAGTTCTAAAACCCTAAGATTTGCTACAGAAATTAGCTTTTATACTTTCCTTGCATATGTTTGTCTTGATTCCCAATAAATAAACTAATTTATTTCATGTAAGGTTGTGTCAGGTGCTGCAAAATGAAAAGGAACAGGTGAGATGCAAATGTAAGTGGCATTGTTGAGCAAAATCCTTACCATCACATTGCAGGAGAGAGAGATGGTTGGCAGAATCCCAAATTGGATTAGTATGCATTTTGCAATTTCCAAGTGTGTTTAGCGAATATTTTTTTCCTTATTCTTCATTTTAAGTTATTTCACAATGCCCAGAGTTAGTGGGGTGGTGGGGAGGACAGACACGCAGAACTACTTGGGGAACATTTTTTATCAATATTTCCTTCTAGGTAAAGGTAAAGGTAGTCCCCTGACATTAAATCCAGTCATGTCTGACTCTGGGGTGTGGTGCTCATCTCCATTTCTAAGCCGAAGAGCCAGCGTTGTCCATAGACACCTCCAAGGTCATGTGGCCGGCATGACTGCATGGAGCGCTGTTACCTTCCCGCCGGAGCGGTACCTATTGATCTACTCACATTTGCATGTTTTCGAACTGCTAGGTTGGCAGAAGCTAGGGCTGACAGCGGAAGCTCACGCCGCTCCCCGGAATCGAACCTGCGACCTTTCGATCAATAAGCTCAGTAGCTCAGTGCTTTAACCCACTGCGCCACCGGGGACTCCATACATTTCCTTCTACCAAGGTTTTATTTTCCAAGGTGTGCGTAAAGCATTGCAGCCCTTGTCTTTATACACATGTAGAATCTGAGCATTAATAATCTTTATTTGTACCCCATCACCATCTTCCCAAAGGGACTCGGGGCAACTCACAGAACCACTCCAAGTGCCACATGCAGACAATAATACATAAGTATAAATACAATGACATAAGTATAATAACAGTGCATAAAAGCATTGGACTAGGACTACAGAGACCTTGCTTCAATTCTCTGTTCGTTCACGGAAACCTGCATGAGTCACATACTCTCAGCTCTAGAAGAAACCACATTGATAGGTTTGCCTTAGAGTCCGCATTCACCTGAAATGATGATGATGATGATGACGACGACGACTCTGGCAAAGACTCTGTTACAAGCCAGTAAAGGTGGTCCCAGTGATGATCGGCACACTGGGTGCAGTGCCTAAAGACCTTGGCTTGCACTTAAACACAATCAGTACTGACAAAATTACCACGTCAGCTGCAAACCGCCAATACATCACACAGTCCTGCACCTTGAATTGGGACCAGACGATGAACGGCAGCCAGTGGAGCTCCTTAAACAGGGGGGTTGATTGCTCCCTGTAATTCGGGCTTTAAAGGTCAAAACCTATTTATTTATTTACTATAGTTATATACTGCCATTCTCAGCCCGAGGGCGACACAGGGTGGTTTACCAATGGCACAATTCGATGCCCGCAATAACATAAAAACAAAACATTTAACGTAAGTAAAATTCACTAAATAATAAATCAGTAAAAATATATTGTCGAAGGCTTTCAAGGCCAGAATCACTGGGTTGTTGTAGGTTTTTTCGGGCGATATATTGCCATGTTCTAGAGGCATTCTCTCCTGACGTTTCACCTGCATCTATGGCAAGCATCCTCAGAGGTACCTCTGAGGATGCTTGCCATAGATGCAGGCGAAACGTCAGGAGAGAATGCCTCTAGACCATGGCCATATAGCCCGAAAAAACCTACAACAACCCAGTAAAAATATAGATCCTCCGCGTCTCATTACTAAAATCATTTATACAATCACATTGTCCAGTCGTTCCAAAGATAAGAGTTTGTCTGCTACACTGCATTTTGGGAAAGCTTGCTCAAAAAAAGCCAGGTTTTAACTTTTTTGTGAAATGTTAAGAGGGTGGGGGCCGATCTAATGTCTCTCTAGGGAGGGCGTTCCACAGCCGAGGGGCCACCGCTGAGAAGGCCCTGTTTCTCGTTCCAGCCAACTGAATCTGTGAAGAAGGCAGAACCGAGAGCAGGGCCTCGCTAGAACCATCACTTTGTGTTTTAATGTATTGTCGAAGGCTTTCATGGCTGGAATCACTGGGTTGTTGGAGGTTTTTTCGGGCTATATGGCCATGGTCTAGAGGCATTCTCTCCTGACGTTTCGCCTGCATCTATGGCAAGCATGCTCAGAGGTAGTGAGGAACACAAAAACCTTGTGTTTTGCCCGAAAACTAATTGGCAGCCAGTGGAGTGAATTTAGGGTAGGTGCAACATGCTCACTCCTAGATGTTCCTGTATCCAATCTGGCTGGCCTCTTTTGAACCAGCTGGAGTTTCCAAATTTGGTACAAGGGTAGAACAATACAAAGCCCATTGCAGAATGCTTGAAGGAGCAGAATTGATGCAGTTTAACACCAATTTAACTGGCGTGGCTCATCGTTGGTGAGGTTCCAACACTATTTAGCAGTTGTAGAGCAGACACGGGCAAACTTTGACCCTCCAGATGTTTTGGACTACAACTCCCACAATTCCTAACAGCCTACCGGCTGTTAGGAATTGTGGGAGTTGTAGTCCAAAACATCTGGAGGTTCAAAGTTTGCCCATGCCTGTTATGGAGCTAAAACTTCCCAAGCTTCCATGGCATTGGGCCCTCCAAAAGTTTTGGATTTCAACCCTCAAAATTCCTAAAACCTGGTAGCCTGTTAGGAATTGTAGTCCAAAACATCTGGAGGGCTGAAGTTTGCCCATGCCTGTTGTGGAGCTAAAACTTCCCAAGCTTCCATAGCATTAGGCTCTCCACAAATTTTGGATTTCAACCCTCACAATTCCTAAAACCTGGTAGCCTGTTAGAAATTGTGGGAATTGTAGTCCAAAACATCTGGAGGGCCAAAGTTTGCCCATGCCTGTTGTGGAGCTAAAACTTCCCAAGCTTCCATGGCATTGGGCCCTCCAAAAGTTTTGGATTTCAACCCTCACAATTCCTAAAACCTGGTAGCCTGTTAGGAATTGTGGGAGTTGAAGTCCAAAACACCTGGAGAGCCCAAGTTGCCCCATGCACCAATGGGAAAGGCCATTCAAACGATCTGAACTCTCCCAACAATAACAACGAGGCCCCTTCCAGACAGCTGAATAAAATCCCACATTGTCTGCTTTGAACTGGAATATAGGGCAGTGTGGACACAGATAACCCAGTTCAAAGCAGATATTATGGATTTTCTTCCTTGCTATTCTGAGTTATATGGTTGTGTGGAAGGGGCCTGAGTCCACAATGTCCTGTATCCCAATTCAAAGCAGATAATATGGGATTTTATTCAGCTGTGTAGACAGAGCCTCGTTGTTACTATTGGGGCCTAGCTCAGCCCTGGTTGCTAGGCTCCCTTAGCAACGCTTCCGCATACGTCATCACCCCTCGCCCTTAACTCATCGTTCTGCGCCTTCCCTATCCGGAAGTCTCTTTGTTGTGCAGGAACCCGGAAGTGAGGAGAAATAAGAGAGATGGGTTGCGACGGGGGAACGATCCCGAAGAGGCACGAGCTGGTGAAAGGGCCCCGTAAGGTCGAAAAGGTGAGGGGAGAAGGCTGTAGGAAAGACTGTAGGGTTTGTGGCCTCCAGGCCTTCTTAGTTTCTCAGGGACGAGAAGGATTCCTGTGTGTTGTTGATGGGAAAACCTTCCTTTGGGAAATCAGCGCCTCAGGTTTGTAGCTGTGTTTAAATATGTGAGAGGAAGCCACAGGGAGGAGGGAGCACGCTTGTTTTCTGCTTCCCTGGAGACTAGGACGCGGAACAGTGGCTTCAAACTACAAGAAAGGAGATTCCATCTGAACATGAGGAAGAACGTCCTGACTGTGAGAGCCGTTCAGCAGTGGAATTCTCTGCCCCGGAGTGTGGTGGAGGCTCCTTCTTTGGAAGCTTTTAAGCAGAGGCTGGATGGCCATTTGTCAGGGGTGATTTGAATGCAATATTCCTGCTTCTTGGCAGGGGGTTGGACTGGATGGCCCATGAGGTCTCTTCCAACTCTTTGATTCTATGATTCTAGGGTCCAATCTACACTAGAATTAATACAGTTTGGCACCACTTTAACTGCCAATGCTATGGAAGCATAGGAGCTGTAGTTTTACAATATAATAATATATAGAAATATTTATTTATTATTTATTTATTTACATCACTTATATCCCGTCCATATCAGCCCGCAGGCGACTCAGGGTGGTCTACATATCGGCACAATTCGATGCCATCAATACAATACAAAAGTAAAAACAATTAAGTGCATTTAGACAAAAAAGACAGTGCAATAACAATTTAAAAAGAGCTATATCCTCTCATTCCAATCCTCGTCCGTTTCATCGTCTTGGCCGTTCCTGGGTCATTCTCCATCTCAAGCTTGATTATTCCGGGGTTCCGAATGCCTGCTCGAAGAGCCAGGTTTTCACTCTCTTACAAAAGGTCAGGAGGGAGGGGGCTGATCTAATATCCCTAGGCAAGGAGTTCCACAGCCGAGGGGCCACCACAGAGAAGGCCCTGTCTCTCGTCCCCGCCAAGCGTGCTTGCGAAGCAGACGGTATTATTACATTAACATTGTAATGTAATAATACTAATATATATAATATGAATAATGTTAAATTATATATTATATATACTACAACTTATAATAAATTATATATTACATATACTACAAATTGTGATATAGCACAATATATTATACAATACTAATAATATAATATACTGGTAGTATGTGTGTGTGTATATATATATACACACACATACATACAGGGTGCAGCAGTATAACTTCCTTTTTTCAAAACTTAATAAAACCCATTGTATGAATCAGAAAAAAAATTATAATGTAGGCGCATATCTAAAGTTTTGTTTTATGTAGTTTTGAAGATCAAATTAGGGAGGTGACGTCCCCCATACATTCTCCATACATTGATTAAACCGATTTCTGGCATTTGTCATGACTCTTGCCAGCATAGTAGGCATTCTGTTGGCAATTGCTTCCTGGATGTTGGTCTTCAAGTGTTATAGGGTCCTTGGACGGTTCACATAAACACGGGATTTCAAAAACCCCCATAGAAAAAAATCACAAGGGGCCAAATCTGGAGAGTGAGCCGGCCACTCCAAATCCGCTCGAAAAGTAGGCCTCAACGGCAAAAGCACACTCCTCACTGTTCCAACACATGATGGCGACTGAACTGTGTCAGGACAAAACTTTATACTCCTGCCTCTCGAACGAGACCACTAGCGCTCCGCTACGTCTTCAACCGACTGCCGCACACTTTAAAAAAGGAAGTTATGCTGCCTCACCCAGTATATAGTGGTATAATAATAATGTTGTTGTTGTTCATTCGTTCAGTCGTCTCCGACTCTTCGTGACCTCATGGACCAGCCCACGCCAGAGCTCCCTGTCGGCCGTCACCACCCCCAGCTCCTTCAAGGTCAGTCCAGTCACTTCAAGGATGCCATCCATCCATCTTGCCCTTGGTCGGCCCCTCTTCCTTTTGCCTTCCATTTTCCCCAGCATAATTGTCTTCTCTAGGCTTTGCTGTCTCCTCATGATGTGGCCAAAGTACTTCAACTTTGTCTCTAGTATCCTTCCCTCCAATGAGCAGTCGGGCTTTATTTCCTGGAGGATGGACTGGTTGGATCTTCTCGCAGTCCAAGGCACTCTCAGCAGTTTCCTCCAACACCACAGTTCAAAAGCATCGATCTTCCTTCGCTCAGCCTTCCCTAAGGTCCAGCTCTCACATCCGTAGGTTACTACAGGGAATACCATGGCTTTGACTAGGCATCTTTGTTGCCAGTCTGATGTCTCTACTCTTCACTATTTTATCGAGATTGGACATTGCTCTCCTCCCAAGAAGTAGGCGTCTTCTGATTTCCTGGCTACAGTCTGCATCTGCAGTAATCTTTGCCCCTAGAAATACAAAGTCTGTCACGGCCTCCACGGTTTCTCCTTCTATTTTCCAGTTGTCAATCATTCTTGTTGCCATAATCTTGGTTTTTTTGACGTTTAGCTGCAACCCGGCTTTTGCGCTTTCTTCTTTCACCTTGATTAGAAGGCTCCTCAGCTCCTCCTCGCTTTCGGCCATCAGGGTGGTGTCATCTGCATATCTGAGGTTGTTAATGTTTCTTCCAGCAATTTTCACCCCAGCCTTGCATTCATCAAGCCCCGCACATCGCATGATGTGTTCTGCATACAAGTTAAAAAGGTTGGGTGAGAGTATGCAGCCTTGCCGTACGCCTTTCCCAATCTTGAACCAGTCTGTTGTTCCGTGGTCAGTTCTGACTGTTGCTACTTGGTCCTTGTACAGATTCCTCAGGAGAGAGACAAGGTGCCTTGGATGCCCATCCCACCAAGAACTTGCCACAATTTATTATGATCCACACAGTCAAAGGCTTTAGAATAGTCAATGCAGAAGTAGATGTTTTTCTGAAACTCCCTGCCTTTCTCCATTATCCAGCGGATATTGGCAATTTGGTCTCTCGTTCCTCTGCCTTTTCTAAACCCAGCTTGAACATCTGGCAACTCTCGCTCCATGTATTGCTGGAGGCTTCCTTGCAGGATCTTGAGCATTACCTTACTGGCATGAGAAATAAGGGCCACTGTACGGAAGTTTGAGCAGTCTTTCGCATTTCCCTTTTTTGGTATGGGGATATAAGTTGATTTTTTCCAGTCTGATGGCCATTCTTGTGTTTTCCATATTTGCTGGCTAATGGCATGCATCACCTTGACAGCATCATCTTTTAAGATTTTAAACAGTTCAGCTGGGATCCCGTCGTCTCCTGGTGCCTTGTTGTTAGCAATGCTTCTTAAGGCCCATTCAACCTCACTCCTCAGGATGTCTGGTTCTAATTCATTCACCACACCGTCAAAACTATCCTCATATTATTATCCTTCCTATACAGATCTTCTGTATAGTCTCGCCACCTTCTCTTGATCTCTTCAGCTTCTGTTAGGTCCCTGCCATCTTTGTTTCTTATCATACCAATTTTTGCCTGAAATTTACCTCCACTGTTTCTAATTTTCTGGAAGAGGTCTCTTGTCCTTCCTATTCTGTTGTCTTCTTCCACTTCCATGCATTGCTTATTTAAAAATAGTTCCTTATCTCTTCTGGCTAACCTCTGGAATTGCGCATTTAACTGGGCATATCTCCCCTTATCCCGGTTTCCTTTTGCTTTCCTCCTTTCTTGGGCTACTTCCAGTGTCTCAGCAGACAACCATTTTGCCTTCTTGGTTTTCTTTTTCTTTGGAACGTACTTTGTTGCCGCCTCCTGAACAATTTCGCGGACTTCTGTCCATAGTTCTTCTGGGACTCTGTTTACTAAATCTAGTCCTTCAAATCTGTTCTTCACTTCCACTGTATATTCGCTAGGAATGTTAGTGAGATCATATCTAACTGGTCTGTGTATTTTCCCTGATCTCTTTAGTTTTATTCTAATTTGGGCAATAAGAAGTTCGTGATCTGAGCTACAGTCAGCCCCAGGTCTTGTTTTCACCGACTGGATGGATGTCCGCCACCTTTGGCTGCAAAGGATGTAGTCAATCTGATTTCGGTGTTGACCATCTGGTGAGGTCCATGTATAAAGCCGTCTTTTAGGTTGTTGGAAGAGAGTATTCGTTATACACAGCGAGTTTTCCTCGCAAAATTCTATCAGCCTGCGTCCCGCTTCATTTTGTTCTCCCAGACCATGCTTGCCTGTGATCCCAGTTGTCATTTGACTTCCCACCTTGGCATTCCAGTCTCCTGTAATGAAAATAATGTCTCTTTTTGGTGTATTATCCAGTAGGTCCTGCAGATCCTCATAGAACTGATCTACTTCTGCTTCTTCAGCAGCTGTGGTTGGGGCATATATTTGGATCACTGTAATGTTGGAAGGCTTTCCTTGCACTCGAATTGAGATCATTCTGTCATTTTTTGGGTTGTATCCAAGCACCGCTTTAGCGAATTTCTTATTAATTATGAAGGCTACTCCATTTCTTCGATGTTCCTCTTGTCCGCAGTAGTAGATCTGGTGGTCATCTGATGTGAAGTGGCCCATTCCAGTCCATTTCTGTTCGCTGACCCCCAGAATGTCTATCTTTAGTCTTGACATCTCACCAATAACAACATCCAATTTGCCCTGGCTCATAGATCTTACATTCCAGGTTCCTATGGTGTGTTGATCTTTAGAGCATCGGATTCGTCATTCACCTCCAGTACCGTCGGCCGCTAGCCTGAAGTCACTAAGAGTCGGAAATGACTGAACGAATGAACAACAACATGACCATTCCATATTATTACTATTGTCATTAATATATTAGTGTTGTTATATCACAATATTATTATATATTATATTGTATTATTATGTTGTATTACATTACAATATTATTAACATTGTATGTATTGTATATACAATATATTATATTATTAGCATAGCTCGGTATTAGTGTTATAGATTAGTATATTGTACTATACTACTATACTGCAATAATATTAGTAATATGTATAATATATAATTATTATATATTATATTGTACTACTGTATATTATTATACCACAACTTATATAATATACCACCAGTATATTATACTATTGGTATATTATGTATTACATGTAATATCACTAATAACATTGCAGTACAGTGGTAAAGTACAATATAATAACATGTAATACTAATATTGTGCTATCATGTAGGCAGTTAGGAATTTTGGGAGTTGAAGTCCAAAACACCTGGAGGGCTGAAGTTTGCCCAGACCTTATTTGCCAAAGATGGATGGTGTCTCACCAAACTAAAACTGCCATTATTTCATAGCATCAGCCATGGTAGTTAAGTAATTTTGTGCAAGAAATAACGTTTGTGCTACTAGAAAGTGAAGATGTCACTTAGGGCTCTTCCACATCCATAAACCCAGAATATCAAGGCAGGAAGTCCCACATTATCTGAGTGTGGACTCAGATAACCCAGTTCAAAGCAGATATTGTGGAATTTTCTGCCTTGATATTCTGGGATATAGGGATGCGTGGAAGGGCCCCTAGTCCACTCTGCCATATATTCCAGTTCAAAGCAGATAATGTGGGTTTTTTCCAGCTGTGTGGAAGGGGCCTTGTCAGCATTGTGATTGCTTTGCAGAAGTTGCTTTGTAATTGGGAGCATCTAATACCTCTATACAGAGTCAGAAGCTGCACTCTCTGAAGAAGCAACCTTTCATTATTTTATTATTTAATTCTAGCATTCTTTCATCCATACTTACTGGTTATCATTGGTACTTCTAAATGATTATGGGATCGCACTTAAGGTTTATTTTGAATAAAATTCAAAATTGTCTCATCATGGTTGGTCTTTTATCCTATTTCGGAATAAAGTTTATGACCTCTGTGTAGAAACCAACCATAAATAGTGAATTCATATGAAAAAGATTCACACTGAAATTAAGAGATAGGTGTTGAAAGTAATAGGTATCTCTTGAAGAAGACAAAAATTAGTTTGTAAGTTACCTTTCTACTTAGAAAAAAATCAGGCGGTACATATTCTCATGTTAAGGTGCTTGGAGAAATTGCTTACTTCTTGAGGGCTGTATGTGGTAGTGGGCAGCCAAAAGATAAAGTGCCCTCCTATTTACAAATACACTGATTTATCTTCAATCATGGAAATAATCTGTACTTACCAGTAAGCATTGTTATAAATATTAAGCTTATCTTACGTACTATGTTATGTACTGTAAGTGGTGAGTTTAAAACTAAGGTTGAATTGTAGTGGAATATGAAATTGTAGCTTTTGATAGTCAGATGAAAATGTATTAAATCTTTATATTTTTATATGTTCCATAGGTTGATAAAAATGCAGAATTAGTGGCACAGTGGTATTACTGTACTTTGAGCCAAGAAAAATTAAGCAGGCCTATAGTAGCTTGTGAACTTGGCAGGTAAGATTAAAATTCTTTTTCTTTTCTTTTCCATGAAACCAAATTTCTCAGTAAATTCTTGTCATATAATAACCTACAATATGTTTTCTGTTGTAGGCTATATAATAAAGATGCAATCATTGAATTCCTTCTGGATAAATCTTCTGATAAAGTGCTTATGGAGGCTGCATCCCATATCAAGAGTATTAAGGTAGACTTTAAGTTTATTGTGTGCCTTTTAGAGTTCAAGTTTTGCCTCTGTGAAATACTCCTGGTTTTTGCTTTTTAAATAGAATATGGTTTGGATGCATTCCTACTGTGGAACCAGGGATTGTTCTACAGTGCAACTGTATTTTAGAGGTGATCCACATACCTCCAAATCGTATTATCACTGCAGTCAGTGTGCTTGTGGATTCCTGTTTTTTAAAATCATTATTCCTGGACAGATACCAGCTTTATACTTCTCATTTCATCAATGCTTGTTCTTCTTTTTTTTTAATGGATTTTTTTCTTGGGCTGAAATATACTTAGAGTTGCCCTAAGTGTGAAACGACTTAAAGGCACAGAACAGCAACAATCCTAATTAACTTGACTATCTCATCAGCCAAAAGCAGACTCACACTTTCCATTGAAATACAGGCATTCCCCAAGTTATGAACTCGATAGGTTCTGTAGGTTTGTTCTTAAGTTGAATTTGTATGTAAGTCAGAACAGGTACATTTTAAGTGCACAGAGAGAGAGAGAGAGCGCTAGCTAGCTAGCTCTGGATAGCATAAGGAAGAGTTAACACCCCCATGGTGTTTATTTTGCTGTCTGTGCCCATGTTCAGAAGATTTCATCTCACTTTTTGTCCCTGTGATAATTGTATTTTGAAAAATTTGGCTTGTTGTGGAAACAAGGATTGGTGATAAAGTTTCACTTGACACGCCTTTTCCCCATGATAACTCTTTCAGGAGTGAGTTCCTCTTCCTAGGGGTAGATTTATCTCAATTCCTGTTGTCTCACTGTTGTTCTTAACTATGAGTCATTTGAAAGTTGGATGTTTGTAACTTGGGGGCTGCCTGTACTGGTAGGTGTGTATTGGTTAAAAAATTTCTTCATTTTAAATACAATATGTACAGTGTGCACATGAATTCATTCATGTTTTTTTCAAACTATAATCTGGTCCCCCAGCAGTCTTGAGTGACTGTGAACTGGCCCTCCGTTTAAAAAAGTTGAGGATCCCTGCTTCAGTTATATGCATGTTACAGTTGCACATACCTCTGAATAGAAAAGCAATTAAAGCTATCATCTTTTAATTTTATATACAAAAAAACTTTTAGTCAGAAGAGGGACATTGACAACCCTCGGGGGTGAAAAGGGTATATGAAATAAATAATAAAATATTTCACAGATTGCTTTATTCATGTGCAGTGGGAAGAATTGGATATGCCTTACTTGATTGCTTAAATTTGCTTGATCTTAAATTATTTTTATTTCTGTTTTCTTTCAGAATGTCATAGAACTGAAACTCACTGACAATCCAGCTTGGACTGGTGACAAAGGCAATACAAAAGGGGATAAATACGATGATATCCAGAGTGCATGTTTCATTTGTCCAGTAGTTGGATTGGAAATGAATGGAAGGCATCGGTTAGTATTTACTGAAAATTTAAAATACTATTTTGTAATGTATTTTAAAGTAATTTCCAATTTATAGCAGCCCCAAGGTGAACTTATCTCAGGATTTTCTTGATAAGATTAGTGTGAAAGGCATTTTCCTTTGCCTTCTTCCGAAGCTGAGAGAATGTGACTTGGCCAAAGTAGTTCAGTGGGTCTCATGGCTGAGCAAGTATTTGATATCTGATCTCTAAAGCCACCACCACACATTCAGATTATTACTCTGAATGTAGTAATCTCACTCTCATCGTTAGTTCTTTCTAGTTTACAGTAATACATCAACGATGATGTTCTAGATAATCTGTGTTCAAAAATTAGGGTCTGGGATTGTGTGATTTGATTTTGTATCTCAGTTATTATATTTAACAGTAAAATCTTTGGGCTTTGATTCTTGTTTCCTTATACTCTATGGGTTTCACACATGGGACATATACCCTTCTAATTGTTATTATATTACTAGTTTGGGTACTCGCTGTTGCCCAGGTTATTAGAAGAAGTCATTTTTTTAATTTTACAAAATGCATAAGGTTGTAGGTATACTAAAACTCACATCATGCCTGATTAACCCTCTATCATCCATCAGATGTGCTATTAATGGACTAAGTCCTGAATAATGTTCTAATGATACCAAAATCCTTAGCTGGTTTTAGATATTATGTTAACAGCTATATTTGGACAGGAAAAGCTAAAAAATCAACTGAACCCAGATTTATAATCTGATAGAATCCACAATTGCATTCTGATTTGAAATCCCTTACGTCAAAGCTAGGTAAACTTTTTTTTTATTGAGAGCCTATGTGGTATAATGGTTTGAGGGCTGGATACCAGGGATTGAATCTCTGCTTGATCATGGAAACCCATTGGACATGTAATACTTTCTCAGCTTCAGAAGAAGGCCAAGGCAAACACCCTTTGAACAAATGTTGCCCCAAGAAAATCTCATAGTAAATGCACCCTAGAGTCAGCATACGCCAGAAATGACTTACGGCACACAAGTGCAACTTATATTCTTCTTTTCTCTCAAAAATAAGACTTAAGGTAGTTCATTGGATGCTTTAATAACAATCCAGTTAATATGTGTGTTTGTGTAATACATTTATGAATGAAAACATAATTTAAAAATACAAACTAAAATGTATCAGTAATAAAATTAAGTAAATACATCACCAACTTGGTGAAAAGTCTTTCTTAGCAACTGCTTCATTATCAAAAGACAACCTGGTTTGGCTTCCTGACAGGAGGACCGCAAAAAGAGAGCCAAATTGAGACTTTTGTAAAATGTTCAGATTTTATATGAGTAAGTTGCATATTGATGAAAGACATCCAAACGTGATGCATAGATGACCTTCACAAAACATTCTTATTTGTTTTGCTTTCCGGTTATGACATGACTTTGCTTAGGATACAATATATTTATTGTTCTGAACCTAAATCTTAGTTTATTTACTAAATTCTACCCGGAAGCTAATAGTGTTCGGTATTCATTGCACTGAAAAATGTCCTTGTTCGGACACAAATTCCACTCAAATATCACAGACATATTTCAGAAACACTTGGAAGCTGATCATATGTTTATGTCCTAAGAATTAGAATTAGTGGAGAATATGAGGAACCTATGAAACCTAAATGAGAAATACATATGTGTTATTACCATTTGAACTTCATGTTTCATTCAGTGGTAAAGACATACCACAAGGGGGCGCTTTGGGATACATAGGTTAAATTGAGCCATTTTAGTTTTCAGGGCAAATAAAGTGTATTTTTAAAACTTTGTTGGTTCACGTTTGCTTAGAAATTAAGGTTTCTAGTTTAAATGTAGCTGTGATGTGTGGCTAATGCTTTCTCTGGTGAAAGTCATGCCTCACTGAATATCAGCTGTCGGAATTTAAGACTTGGCTGAAGACCCTTTTCTTCCGACCGTCCTATCTAGACAGTTTTAAAAGTTGTGAATTTTAACCTGCATTTAATCAATGGTATTTAATTCTATGTATCTTGGATCTCTTGCTTTCAGGGAGACACATGTTATAAATATATTATTATTGTTGTTGTTGTTATTATTATCATTATTATTATTTGATAAAATTTAGTCCCAGCAAAGAATGCCTCAAGTGCTGCCGGAGTCCTATTGAAACAAATTACTGTGTTATTAAGTGTGCTTTAAATTTGTTTTTATTGTTGTGGTTATTTATGTTTATTTGAATTTCATTACTTCCAAGTGCCTTTTTTAAAGTAGAGATAGGATATGCAAATTAATTTTTAAAAGGGCATTGCAGTCACATGTGTTCTGAAGTGCAGTGTATATATTCTGATTTAATATGTTATTCTATATATTTTCCTCAGAGATATGCCCCTTGACCTTAACTTATTAACCATCATTCTTTGGTTCTGGTAGGTTTTGTTTTCTGCGCAACTGTGGATGTGTATTCTCTGAACGTGCTCTCAAAGAAATTAAAACAGAAGCTTGTCACAAGGTAAGCTGTGTTCCTTCCCTTTCTTCCAGTGTAAGTATGTTTTGCATTCCATAGTTACATAAGCTTGAGTTGAATATTAGATGTGTGTAATTAAGAGCTAGAATGCAACCATGAATAAGGGACAAACAGCATTGAGATTGCCATTATTTTCATGTTACAATATATGCATCTGGGTATTAATATAAATGACATATCTTGTGGCAATCCATTGAGAGTTTTATTTTCTGTGTTGAGGTGATTTCTGTTATCTTTTGTTTTGTGGGGAAGGCTTGGCCCTTGAGCTGCATGCAATCCTTGACGCTTCATAAGGTGGCCCTTGGGATCCCACAGAAGACATATCCATCTGCCAGCCCCATTCCTTTTTTAAATCTGAGGACAAATTGGGCATTGCTTTTGCAACCCCACCCCCAACAAAAAAAGGCCAAATGGTTTACAATAAAACATTTGTCTTCCTCTGGCCTTGTAAAGCTGCCAGACCTCCCTAAAACATCGATACAGAGGGGGAAATGGACGAACATTGGCCAAATGATTGCTAGAAGTGACATATATTGGAGAAACCTGCAGATAGCCTGTCAGATGGGCAGTGAGAAGTAAAATGACCCCCCTTGCACTATTGCCCACCCCTGTACTAAACAGAAAGTGCATTGTCTCTGCATTTCCAGGAGTGCAAATATGTCTTCCCCCTTGCTGTTAGAACTTCAGTTAAATAGTTGTCTCTTTTACAACCACAGTTTATGAACTTCTTCCCTTCTCTTCATTCTTAAGGGCCCAGATGTTTTCTGAAGCCAGAAACTAGAGTTTTGTTGTTTCCTATGCTGCTGTTGTTGCTTAGATCCCACAGCCTCAACCTTGCCCTTCTCCTGCACACACTCACATACCCATAGCTCTGATTTCACTGCTGTATTTTTCTCTATTTCAGATAAATTCATTTAGGCACTTGTCACTCTTTCCTTTTAGTGATCCCAGCAGACACGGTAACTGCACATTGACAGTAAACTTGAACAGTGACGATTCCTTGATAAATTACTATTAAGACCTGCAAAAATATCCAGATGAATTGTTATCCCATGATTTCCAAATGACACTGACCATATCAACCCACAGTTTGAGACAGTTTTGACGTGTATTATGTAACAAGAAACACCAATTCCCTGCAATGCTGTCATACTGTGGTTTAACAAAATATTGTGGTTTTTCTGAATATACTACCACTGTAATAATGTCATTGTTCAGGCAAATTAAGCTGTTTTTGTGGTTTTGAGTAGAATCAGAATAGGCTGAAAACAGATACAATTCTAGGATAGTGTTCAATTAGTGGTTAATGTAAATAAATATCATACAAATGCTATTGGTTACAGGATACAATATGCTTCATAAACATGTCTACTGCTTCAAGCCTGGCTCCCCAAATGTGGTCTGTTGAGTAAAGAATTCTTGCCTACTTGAGGGCTTGTTTCTCTCTGTGTTGTAGCACTTCTTTTAAGATCTGTGGATCAGTTGATAGCTTTGGGAAAGGTCCATTAATTAGTTGAAGCACATGCTTTGAATGGTCATGGTCCTGAAGTTTTCCAGTTACAGGGATGGCTGGAAAGAACTCCTCCTGAGAGAAATGCTGCCAGTTAGAGCAAACAGATACATCACCAGTGAGATTAGAGAGCAAGTCTGGCCCAGTGGCTTGAGTGCTGAGCTATGACTCTGGAGACCTGGGTCCAAATCCTTGCTCAGCCATGGAAATCCACTGGGTAACCTTGGGCAAATCACTCTCTCTTAGTCTCAGAGGAAGGAAAAGGCAGACCCCCTCTGAGCAAATACTGGCAAGAATCACTGTGATAGCTTCACTTTAAGATCAGCATAAGTTGAAAATGACTTGAACGTCCAAAACCAGTGTGGTTAATTGGTACCAAACAGTTTTACATAAGAATCTATTGATCGACATGTTTAGAATATTAAAGAACTATGTCTTACTGGTCAGTCTTACTTTTCTGAGTCTTGTAGATCTCTAAGGGTTCTATCACTCAGAAAAATGTTGCAGGTTCCTTCTAATGAAGTGATTTTCCAAATGGTTGTTGGTTCCACAACTTGTAAAATGGCCACAGTTTTGGAAGTTAGTTGTCTTTCTTGTTATGATATGTTGTGAAAGAACATGCGCTTCTCTAAAGCAAATGCTTGGAGAAGAGCAACTTTTCTCTCTTGCTTAAACCCTGGTTATTGCAGAAAGATGCTTTGGTCTCCATATGTGAGAATTGCTATGGTAAGGCAGCTGTATATGTGTTCATATACAGTTGGCCCCCCACATTTGCAGGTCTGGTTATTTTGGATTTGATTAAAATGTTCTTTGGGCAGAAGTTGACCACAAAATAGCCCTGGATGACCTAGAGATTCTCTCAGATTGAAAGGAACGATTTTTTTTATTTTTGTACTTTTTTATACTTTGCAAAGTAATTGGCAATGTTCTTTACTTATGCACATGAATATGAAATCTGTCAATGCAAAATCCTGTCCTTGTTGGGGGGTTTCTTTGTGGGGGGGGGCACAGTATTGATCTCGTGGTGTTCCTTGGTTTGCATTACTGAACTATCAATACAGTTTGATTGATTCCAGTGAAAGAGTGTGTATTTTATAGAGATGTGTGTTGTCTTTAAAGGCCTTTTGTTGCAATATGGTTTTATGAAGTAAGTGACAATGTTTTATACTTATGTACATGAATATGAAATCTGTCAATGAACAATGCTGTCCTTGTTGGGGTTTGGTTTGGTTTTGAGGGAGGGGGGCACAATAAATACGGATCTTTGGTCTAGTGTTGTTCCTTGGTTTGTTCGATTGGTTAAAGCTTAGGCTTTGAATATTGTGTTGATTTTCTTTAAAGCTGGTTGATCTTGTCATGCTGGTTCACTTCCTTATTACTTGGCAGCCAAAGAGCATTAAAATAAGCACAGAGTTGCTTACAGTGGCGTTTTGGGTTACTTTAGTTCTAGGTGAAATTTGAGCAGCAAACACTGTTGAAAACTGAAGAGATCTTACTTATTTTTTTATCACATTTTTCAATCCCGAAGGGGGCTCAAAGTGGCTTACACATAGGGAACTATTCAATGCCTCAAGAACATACAATTAAAATAAACATTTAAATTAAGATTAAAATCAGTACACTTTAAAACAAATTAAAACATTACAACCATTATTAAAACCATGCCATCCATAATCGTAATCCTGGCCACTCCAGTAGTCATTGTCAGGCATTCGGACAACGTAGCTAATCCAGCGAAGTTGATGTCAAAGGATCATCGCTTCAGTGCTGGTGGTCTTTGCTTCTTCCAGCACACTGACATTTGTCCACCTGACTTCCCAAAGGATTTGCAGGATACTTCAGAGGCAACCCTGATGGAATTGTTCCAGAAGATGAGTGTGACGTCTATAGATCGGTCCATCTTTCATAGGCGTATAACAGAGTTGGGAGGACAATAGCTTTATAAACAAGCATCTTGGTATCCCTGTGAATGTTCCAATCCTCAAACACTCTCTGTTTGCATAATACAGCTGGAGGTGAACGCAAATATCACCAGTTGTAATGCACCTGTTTGTGGAGGTTATCTTACATCCTGTGGAAATCTAACTTTCTTTTGCAAATTCTGACAGAAGCTCTCTGCTTTGTATGGAAACATCCTTCTTTTTAATGACAAGATTATACTGCTGTTGGATTTAATCCAGATCTTTGTCTGGATATCAACTTCTGTCTTTTCAATCCAACTGCATAGTTTTGAACTTTTAGTAGATTGAGCTTTTCTTTGAAAGAAAAGAGGAAGTCCTTTGAAAACCCCTGCCATCTGAGGGCAGGCAGTTAACTAATGGAGAAAATGACTTTGTGCTCCAAATATGAAACTCTCTCTTTAGAAATGTTTGTCTAGTGCCAGGAACAAGGCAAAGTCCATCTTTTATCTCAGGCCATTAATGGCACTTAACTCTGTAGCCCCCTTTTAGCAGAGTGTTTTTAATTGACTGTATTTTAAAATTTCTGTATTTTAAATTGTTTTATTGTAATGGTTTTTATCTTGTATTTTATGGTTTGTAGGATATGGCAGTTAATGCATTTGAATTTTCCCTCTGCCTGACGGCCTTCTAGACAAAAATCCCATGTCTAAAAGTGCCTCTGAACAAGGCGAGGGCAAACTTCAGCCCTTCAGGTGTTTTGGACCCAACTCCCACAATTCCCAACAGCTAGTAAGATGGCTGGGATTTCTGGAAGTTAAAGCCCAGAACATGTGACGGGCTGAAGTTTGCCCATCTGAACCAATTTGGAATTAAGGAGGCATACAGCAAATGAGAATTACTTGCAATTCAAACAGATGTTCCAGATATAGTTGAACTGCAATTCCTATCAACCTTAGCCAGCATAGTCAGTGGTGGGGATGATGAGTTGTAGTCCCAACAATATCTGGAGAATCTTACTATTTGTTTATTGAATCCCTTCAGCACTGATAAATATACACATGTGATTGCTACTTTCAATTAATTACAACATTTAAACCCTGGTTTGAATATTTTTTTAAAGTACAAAATTCAACACTTGATTTTGCCTTTTTACATTGGGACACCGCTTTTCTTCACCGTTATATATAATGGGACTTGAGCATCTACAAGCGGTCCTGAACAAAACCCTAGCAGATACCAAATGAGTTCAAGATACACGATGTTGAGAAATTGTTTTCTCCTTACTTCATACTTCTAAAGTGGGCTGAGTCATTTAGAAGCCACTAAATGTTTTAGATTGCAACTTTCAGAAGTCTCTCTCAGCATGGATAGCATCAAGGCACTATGTGAATTATTTAAAATATCTGGAAGTCCAAACATTAATCATCCTCTTCCACAGCTGGGTTTAGTGAAATTGGAATAGCAGTTGAACTTTCCCCTCACTGTGCACCTAAAAACATGACAAATCCTCACATTGTTCAGCAGTTGGACCATGTAGATAATACTCTCAAAAACAATAGATTGTGCAGAATACT